AACTCCACTTGGTCATGGTATTTAATTATGTTTTAAGATTTGCTGAATTCTATTTACTAATATTTTAAAGGATCTTTGTATCTTTACTAGTGGAGGATATTGGCCTGTAGGTTTCTCTTTTTGTATAGGCATACCTTCACTGTACTTTATTGCCCTTCTCACATGTTACATTTTTAATAAATTAAATGTTTGCGGGAATCTTATGTTGTTGTAGTCTATCAAAGCTATTTTTCCAACAGATCAGGTGATTCTTAGCAATTTTAGCAATCATGTAATTTTTTTCAGTACTGGGGATTGAATCCAGGGCCTTTGCATGCTTTATTCCCAACCATTTGTTTCTTTTTTTAATTTTGAGATTAGGTCTTGCTAAGTTACTCAGGCTGGGCTTGAACTTGGAATCCTCCTTCTTCAGCCTCCCAGTGTGCTGGTATTATATGTACAACCATACATATGCACAACCATACACATACAACCATACACATTATATGCACAACCATACACATGCACAACCATACACATCGATAATGTGTTTTAAAGTACATACATTAATTTTTAAAGACATAATGCTATTGCTCACTTAATAGGAGACATTATAATATAAAGATAGTTTTTATATGCACTGAGAAGCCAAAAGAATTGTGTAACTCATTTTACTCTGATATTCACTTTATTTCAGAGATCTGGACCCAAACATGCAATATCTCTGAGCTATGCATATATGCTTTTTTTCAGAGGAAAAAGTCATTATAAAATAAGTTTGGAAGTCTTCCATAGAATTACTGAATTGATGTTAATTTTTCTTCAAACATTTGATAGAATTCTTTAAAGAGACCATCTGGGTTCTAGATTTTTTCAGCTTTCTCTTATTTTTATTGTGGTAAGATATTGGTAACATAAAATTTAATAGGTAAAATTTGGCTTCATTAACTCCATGGGACCCCTCCAACGAAATATGAGAAAATATTTGCAACTCATATAACTGATGTGTCTATTATCCAAAATATTATGCAAAGAGCTCACTACTCCATGAGAAGACAAACAACTCAAATGAAAATGGGCCAAGGATCCAGACATTTTTCCAAACAATATATACCAATGGCCAGTAAGTGCATGAAAGGATTAGTTATTAGATAATGCAAATCAAAAGCATAATGAAGAAAAATTCACACTCACCATTATAGTCCTCCTACTTTTGTTCTTTTTAAGATTGTCTTAGCTCTTCTGGACACTCTGCATTTTTATATTTTAATGTCAGCTTGTTGGTTTCTGTAGAGAAATCAGGTGATAATTTAATAGGTCTTCTATTGACTCTTTTGATCAATTTGGGAATTATTGCAATTTTAATAAACTCAGTCTTGTAATACAGGAACATTTCTTTTTTTTTTTTTTTGGTTTTTTGGTTTTTCTCCGGTACCAGGAACCGAACTCACGACCTTGCGCTTGCCAGGCAGGCGCTTTGCCGCTGAGCTAAATCCCTGGGCCCAGGAACATTTCTTTAGATATTCTTTAATTTCTTTCAACAATGTTTTGAGGTTTTCAGTATATAAGTCTTGCTTTTATCATTTTCATTATTGCTAGCTATTATATTCTTTTTGATGATTTTGTGAATTAAATTATTTTCTTAACTTCACTTTTGGATTGCTCACTATAGTATATAGAGGTATAGCTGAGTTTTCAAATACTGATATTTGCATGTTATTAATCAAAAATTTTTTTTTGTACCGGGACTCAAATTCAGGACCTTGCCCTTGTCAGGCAGGTGCTTATGCCACTGAGCTATATCCCTGACCCACAAATACTGATATTTGCTACAACTTTGCTAAACTTATTTTTAAAATAGGTTTTTAATGTATTCCTTAGTTTTCATATTATCTGCAAATAGATTGTTTTTATATATTCTTTTCCAATCTTTATGACTTTTATATTTTTTGTTTCTGAATTGCCTGGCAAGAATATCCACTAAAATATTGAATAGAAGTAGCAAGAACAAATGTACCTTTCATGTTTCTTGTTTTAGGGTAGAGCTTTCAACATTTTACAATTAAGTATGTTATTCTCTGCGTCTTTCTCACAGGTACTGTTGATTAGGTTAAGGATGCTCCCTTCATTCTTAGTGTTTTGAGAATTGTACAGCCATTTCTGGTAACAGTTTGACATTACTTGATAAAGTTGATAAAATTGAACTTGGGCATACCTAATCACTCAGCAACTTCACTCTTAGTTGTACTGTGGAGAAAGCTCTAGCATTTGTGTACTAGAAATGCACAGAATGTTCATATTAGGATTATTCATAATAGTTGGGTTGGAAAGAACTCAAATATAGTACGAAGGTTGAACAGGTAAGTAAATTGTGATATATTCATTCACGGGAATTATGTATAGTAGCTATCCTCAAAGTCTGACATGTATAAGGATTACTTCGCCTGTTAAAACACAGTTTGCTTATTTATTAAATTAGAAAATAGGCACTAAAACATATTTAAATGGAAAATTTTCATAATGCAAATTGTGTTAGTTAACTTCTCATTACTGTAACAAATACCTGAGATAAATCAGGTTCAGAAAAGGAGAGGTTTGACTCACAGATTTAGAAATTCCAGTCCATGGTCAGTTGACCAATTGCTTTTGGGCCTGTTGCAGGTAGTACATGTTGAGATCATGTGGTACAGGAGGCCTATTCACCTCATGGAAATGGAGAAGGAGGGGAGAGGGAGAGGAAGAAAAGAGAGAGAGAGAGACAAGGGTACAAATATCTTCTTCGAGATTATCTTCCCACTCATGTAACTTCATGCAACTAGGCTCCACCTCTACCACTCCTCACATATGGACCTTTAGGGGACATTTCATATCCAAACTATAGCATTTTGTAAACTGTATATCTTTTCTCAAGACAAGGTTTCAGTGGGTAGTCCAGGGTGGCCTTAAATTCACTATGTAGCCAAGGCTTTGAATTCACAGCAGGGACCCTGCCTCAACCACCTGCGTATTGGGATTACAAATGCGTTCCACCATGCCCAACTCTATCTTTGTTTTTTATACTTGTGTGTGTCTATGTATATGATACATTTAACATTTTAAAAATGGTTATATTATCTTTGAAAGTTTCAAGAAACCAGTGTAATAACATTCAAGCCCAGGATAGACTGAGCTTCAAGGGAGGCAATATATTATAGTAGAAGGATAATATTCTTTAGATTCAAATAGACCTGAATTCATATTTCAGGTCTATATTTATCCATGTGATCATGGATAATTACTTAGGTCCATGTGGGCCTCAGACTACTCATCACATACTACCTTGCATATTTGTTATACCTGAGGCCTGTTTCTCAATAACTGCTGGTACAAAGAAAAAAAAGCAAACAAATATCTGGGGAAGAGTGAGAAACATCAGTGGGGAAAGTTATAAAGAAGACAAAGATGTTGATGTTAGTCATTTATGACTTCTGAAGGTATAGTTTCAGAAGGCAGAGGAAATGGACAACGCGGTGCAAATGTTTGTAGAAGCAATGACATGATAATATAATGGAACCAAAGTGTTCACTCTTTGGAGGTGCTGAGTTATGAAATATAAGAGAAAAATAGAAAAACTTATGAGAGAATGGTAGACTTAAGAAAACAGATCCTGCCAAAATCTGTTCTGAAGATACATGGGAGGTGAAATTAGTATATGTAGTCACTATAGGAAAGTTGTTTAATATGGTTTGCTGTGTGTCCTCGAAAGGTACATGTGTTAGAGGATTGCTTCACAGGACAAGGCACTACTGGTTAATGGTAGAATTTTTGAAGTGGTACTTAATGGGAGTTTTAGGTCATTGGAGATATGTCTTTAAAAGGGACTGTGGGACTCTAGTCTCTTCCTCCTTCTATCTCTCTCTTGTGTCCTGGTCAAGAGGTGAACTGGCTGTCTCTGCCATGTGCTCATCATGATGTACTGCCTTGCCACTGGCTCCAAAGCAACAGGGTAAACCAACCATGAAATTAAACCTTCAAAACTATGAGCAAAGCAAACCTTTCTTCTCATTAAGTTGATTATCTCAGATATTTGGTTATAGTAACAGAAAGTTGATCAACACAATGGTAATGCAATAGTCAAAATTGGTAACATTAGTTCATTCTTTGTATTAGTGTTGTCTGTATTTGCCAGCCTTTTAAATACCAATGCTTACTTTCCCTAACTTTTTATTTTTAAGGCATCTCACACATGAATAGCTATAATTATTTGCAGAATGAGGATCCAATGAGTATAGTGTTTATGTAGAGGCTAATTGACATTGTAGAGAAAAGAGTTCTGTTTTGTAGGCCTAGGCTGCACTTTTAATCTTAACCACTTATTTAAAGATGTACCCTGAGATGCAAAAGTGGAGCCAGGTAAGAGAACACAGAGGACTTAGGGCCAGCAAGCAATGGCTTGGAAACATCATTCTGAGAATATTATTATTAATAGTAGACATGACAGGCATATCCTAATATTTTATTTAACTGTTATTTTCAAAGACCCTTGTTTATTAAACTATCAAGACAAAATCCTAACTGAAATTTGGGGTTTCACTTAGCAATAATATGGCCTAAGAATTACACAGTTAAAGTATTGATCTTGCCATTAATGTTCATCACTCAAAGCTGGGTGTGGTGGTGCATCACTCAAAGCTGGGTGTGGTGGCGCACATTCGTTGGGAGTTTGAGACCAGCCTGGGCTATAAAGTAAGCTCAAGGCCAGTCTGAACTGCATAGAGAGACCCTGTCTCAAAAAGACAAAAAAAAGTGAACTCCATAGAAATGTTTACATGTTCTTTTCCTCATATTATCTTATTTAGATGGAATAAAATATGGGAAAATATCCTAAGAGATAGACCAGATGTTATTATGTTTTTTTTTATAATTTTTATATCCTTTGATCCAGAACCAGCATGCTGTGGTTGAATAAAGCATGCAATTATGTGAAAATTGTCTTTCAAATCCCAGTTATAATGTAATTGCGACTTCTTTGTTTAAAATAGGAACATTTAAATCCAGCTGGGCTTTTCTTAAAGATGAGTCTCCTTTTGAAAAACAGGGCGACTAATGAAGAACTTCTTGAAGGTATCATCTCTGTGTGTGAAGAGCACCCTATTTTGAAATATCACCACGAATTTGTTGAAGATAAGATCTTTTGTAGTACACTAACAATAGGTGTAATTTGGTGGTAGCTGAGAAAGAAACTGATCACATAGGAAAGAGCTTATCAACCAAGAGGAAAGAGAAGAAAGAATAGCAGCAAATTTAAACGGTGGTTAAAGAAATGGAGCCGAACAAAAGCAATCAGTTTTCTTTTAGTCCAGAAGAGAATTACAGCTGCCCAACCTTTCTGAATTTACCACCATAAAGAAAGATTATCTTTTTTTTTTTGAGGGAGTCAAGCCATTTTATTGAGTGGCTTGGAAGTGGGGGGTTAGAAGTGCTGAGGAGAACATTGGTATATAAATCCTCAACAAAGCTGGGGTTTCCCCAGCCTTGCAGTTGCTGAAGAAGGATTATTTATTGATGGAGAAAGCCTTTCTAATACTATGCTTTTTATAATTATATGCATAAACATTGCCCTTTTTTTTTTTTATAATTCTCTGGGGGACTAGAATGTACATAGCACAAAATTACCATACTGGTATATAGATTTCTGTCATCTGACTAGTCACTCACTTAACTTTCTTATACTTCTATTTCATCATCTTTAAGACATATCATGCTAGGAGTGGTGCTGCATGCCTGTAAGCGCAACTACTCAGGAAGCTGAGGCAGCAAGATCATGTGTTTAAGACTAGGCTGGGCAACTTCGTGAGACCCTGTCTCAAAATGAAATTTAAAACAGGGCTGGGGATGGAGCTCATTTCTCAGGGTTCATTTCTCAGTACTGCAAAAACAAAACTAAAAAGAGATATAATAATAATATCTAATTAATTGTGCTGTTTTGAGAAACTTATAAGAGAATGTATGTAAAGCATTTAGTATATGGTTTGTGTATGGTGGGCAGTACATGTTTCTTATGATTATTATAGCTGTTATTAGTACTGACATGTACATACAGTTAATGAGGCAAAATCTATGACCACAGGCCTGTAGCAGTATTGCAATGTTGCTTAGTAATTTTAGAAATGACACTAAACTCATTTAATGTGTAAATGCCTGAGTAGGTCAGTAATCCTTAAGAGCTGCATTATTTATACTATATGAGTTAGTATAATTACTGATTACTCAATAAATATTAACAATTTGTAATAATTAGAACAATAATCAAATTTGGCAGTAGCCCTAAACCTAGTGCTAATTTAGTATTGCTAAACTTTTTTGTTTAGCAAAAAATTTAGAATTTTAGCCAATCACTTAAGAGATCTCAGAGCCTCTAATGTTCAGAAGACTCTTCATTTTTAGGTTGAGAATATCACCTCAGCATACATAGGTTGAAAATTGTTAGGAACCAGGGAGACAATTCCCCTTTTTTGCATTAGGAGAATAAACAAACCAAATAACCTATTAAAGGAATAGGCTTACTAAAACATACAGTGTAGAAAAACCAGACATTATCAGAGTTACCAAGTTTAAGATGATTAGTTTTAGGCTAGAGTTTAAAGTGAAATTATTCTTTATCCCTAGGTTGTTTTTATTGTACTCAGACAAGACACTCTCGCTACTCAGAATAACAAAGTTTAATCTCAAATTAGGAGACTTGCCTGAAATGCAAGATTTTTTATATTTTAAGACAGTGCAATTGACTTTTATTGACTTTAATTTTTGAAAGAATGCATAAAATTTCATTGTGTAGGTTTTTTTCATTATTAAGATGCTAGGATGGAACCTAGAGCCTTGCACTTCCTAGATAAGTACTCCACCACTGAGCTATATTCCCAGCTCAAGTCTGTGCATTTATTTACTAGCAAAAGTGCTTTATTCTTTGAATGACTAACCTAATTACTGGCATTAGAGTTTTACTGTTTTTTAAATGACAGAAGAAGCAAAAGTTAAAAATACTAAACTTTTTACTATGAAAAGATATTATATGCTCATCAAAGAAATGTTTGGAATGTACTAAAAATACCCATACTTGGCCAGGGAGGAGGGCCCCCGGTGCCTGGGAAGCTGTGAGGCAGGGAGCGCCAGCCTTCGGGCTGGCCCCCAGCCTCGCAGGCGCCCACGGCAGCCTGTGCTGGTGTGCGCCGGCCCTCAGGCCAGCCGCCGCCACACAATTCAGAACTATCATGGCACAGAGAAGCAATGACACAATTGGTCCACCACGCACTGCCTGTGCAGGCCTGCCCGTGGACGTGCATGAATAATTCCGACATGCAGAAACCCCTGGGAATACATGCCGCACGATGGGGCACTCTTGCTCCTGCCGTTGAGAACCAGAAAGGTCCAGAGTCAGTTAAGGAGCAGCTGCTGAACAAAGACTCAGAGAACATGAGAGTCCAGACTAAGCCTGAAGTGTCAGAGGTCTAGTGCACTGGTGTCATGAGAGCCATTTGGAAGCTGTAAACCAGGAGGACCTTGTGCAATACCTGGGGAGATCCCCTGGAAGCCATTCTTCCCCTGACAGTACAGGCTGTGGTGGAGGAGTGTGTGGAAGTCCAGGCAGGTCTGCAATGAGATTCCTGCTGCCTGTGCTGACGGTTGGGGAGAGGACACTAACTGGTTGTGGGGTCCCAATGCGATGGGAGGCTGGAGACAAAAAGCTACAAAAAATGGCTTTTGCCCCAGATGGCTCATTTGAGATGTTAGTAAGAATTGCCTCCTCAGTATTCTATAACTGTGACGAGGAGGCCAAGGAGAGAACACAAAGAGACTGAGAAAAAGCAGCAGCTTTTGCTGCAGCACTAAGAGAAACAGACCCTAAGTCTGATTCCCAGGGCCCCAAGAAGAACTTGATGACTGCATTCATCTGCTACCACTATTAAAAGTCAGGCCACCTCAAGAGGAACTGCCCTAAGAAGCCCCCTCGGCCATGTCCTGAATGCAAAGCTGACCACTGGAGATCGGTCTGCCCTCTGAAGAAGAAGCTGCAGAACTCAGACCCATCCTACCAGCTGGTCCAACAGGAATGAAGGGGCCCAGGGCATACTCTGCCTCCTCCCTCTGGCCAGACTGTCATCTCCATGGAGGAGCCCCAGGTAATCATGACTATGGAGGAACAAGAAAATAGCCTGTTGCTAGACACAGGTGCAAGTCTCTCGGTCCTTCTTTTCAGTCCTGGCCTTCCTTCCAGCCGTCACACCTCAGTGAAAGGAGTCATTGGTGAGGAGGTAATCTGCTATGTTTCACAACCCTTAGGCTGTAACTACTTGCTAGATCCTTCTTGCGTATCTCTGTCTCCTGAGAAACCACTTCTAAGATACCAC